GTATGTATATGTACACATGTATGTACATATATGTATGTCGGAATACTGAACAATTACGCTGTGAATAATGAAAATAAATATTTATCTACACAGTACACATACATACATATGTACATACAAATACAGAAATTATTTTGCAAGTAGCTCTATTGCATACGAATATTTACCTACCTAAACGCATTCGATATGCTTATATGATGTAAAATACATACAAATACAAAATACATATGTATGTATGTACATATATATGTAGCTAAAAAATATGTTTGATGGTTGGAAGAGGAATAAAACGCCGAATAAAAGGTAAACAAGCCCACAAAAAACGTTAAGAACCCAGAATTTTATTTAGCTTTAAATCATAACAAGATCAAAGAAAAACACCAAATAGGAACAGTAATATAAAAAAATAAGACAAAATAAGTTGAAAATAATGAATTAAATAAAATTAAATTAAATATAATTATAAACGATATGATTTAAAGCGAAATCAAACACCAGACACCAAAGTAGGCCATGACACCTTTTAAATTATAAGAAGATCAAAGAAAAACACCAAAATATTAACCAAAATAAAAAAAAAAACAAAATAGTTATTAACGTAAATAGCACTACTCAACAAAATCGAACTTTTTTTCCTCAAGAAACCAAACCGTATTTTTCTGATAGATTTTAGGATTTACAATTTTTTTATTTTAAAAATGTTGAAAAAAACACCGCACAAAAAAGATTATCATTTTTGCATTTTAAAAAACTTTACATTTCTCAGACGGTAAGCTGAAACAACAAAGTGCGTAACTGTCAGTGAAGGAGCTAAAGTGATTCCTTCATACAAAAAAATGTTGAGCCCTGTTGAGGACACCCGGAAAAAACAGCTTAAAAATAAAAATAAAATGAAAGAAATAACCACAAATAACGAGAAACAAATAAAGACGAGACGTTTTCCCTTTACCCATCACAATCAGAAGCACAATATTAAATTTTGTTTGGATGAAATGATTTTTTCGGTGTTATCTTACGTAACCTTAAGACCAACAACGGTATTCTTCAGTTTCTCAACCAAATATTTACACGCATTAAATACAACAAATCCAGGGTGTCTACAGGGATCATGACGTGTGTCATAACTGATCCTGACAGCCATTTTTTTCCAAGAGACCAACAAAACATTAATATTATTAAAAAATTATTAAAATTCTGTTTTGGTTTTTTTTCCCCAAATTTTTTTTATTATTCTCACAGCTCCTACCCCAATGTATGTATGTATTTGGTACGTTATCAGCACGAAAACCGCGTACTGTCAACAAATATGACTCACAATACTCAGATCTGTAGCATATGCTTTCTATCCAAGTTTAGTGGGGGCACATCTAGGCCCTTGCCGAGAATAGAGAGGTGCCTCTACCATTTTAAAAAAAAAAGTTCTGCAAAAAAAAAATTCACATCAAACAATTTCGAAGACCCAAATCTGTCAGAAAAAGTTGGTTTGGTTCGTTGAGGCAAAATCGTGTTGAGCAGTGTAATTACAGATAAATATTAATAAAAGTTTATTGTAAACGTTGAAGCGCAAATGCATACAGCATATGATTTATATAGGTATAATTAACCGAAACTCAAGCACAAAAATCGTAAAAAAGAAAATGGAATCTTTACCATGCTTTGCACTGCAAAGCAAAATACCGATAATAATCAGATTGAGATATATTCAACATTTTAATTTATCTGCATCATTTATAAAAATAAATATATATTACTGAATAAACCATATTAAAAATAATCTTGAATAAACCGCGCGTTTTTTTTACAAGTCTGGCAGTTCTATTCCTGACTGGATGCTCTGAAAGTCCAAAAGCAAATTACAACTGCAAAACAGATCTCCGTCGGCTTTGATTTCTTTCGCACGGTGTGTACGGTATAAAAAATTATTAAATTTTTAAATTTGAATTTAATTTAATTTAAAAAAATATAAACAAAATTTTTTATTGTAAATGTTGGTCTAATTACAGTGTGTTTTGTTTTTTGGCCGTCAGACATCGGGTGATACAGGGGGACCAACGGGGACCAGCTATCGGGGTGGTTACAAAACTGAGCGATATCGCGGCTGGCAAGCGCTCAAAAATGGGTAACCCCTGAAAACCCCAGCAGGCGACGCTGCACAGTGGTTGGGCTGTATGGAGCCGCGGCCATAAATATTTCTAGTTGATGTATCGTTACGAAATGTTCATTAAAATTCTAGAAAAATATTTTAATCATACAATAAAATTAGAAGTGTGAGTGTCGCTTCTGGGGACGCGACTCTACTTTTATACCCGTACTCAGTCAGTATATCAATTTTTGAGCTTATGATTTATGTAGAATTTAAAACATTTTTACATAGTACATTTGTTTGCTACATCTGTTATCTACATCTACAATGTAAATTATACATCTAACATGAAGATTTTACATGTAACATTTAGATTCTACATCTTCTCCGCTAGCGGGCACTCGCGCACTGAACGTGGCAGAGTGTGCGAGCGAGAAAGAGATTGAGTAGCGTGCTCTCTTGCTGGAGGAGGTGGGGGAAGCAACTGAAAATTCATTTCTTCATTCTGGCTATAAGTTTGATCCGATCTGATTCGGCAATCTGGTAGATATGAGCATTCTCTACGATACAACGTTTTTAGTTAAATCGTATTTTCAAAATTGTGCCTGCCACGGATTTTCGACCTTTGTTGTGGCGAAAGGGGGTGGGGCTCGGCTTTTGATGATGATCAATGGGGTCGGAAACGTTTCCTTCTCTGCGTTACACACATCCACTTTTACCACAAATCTAATATGCCCCTTAACTCTTTTTTGAGTACGGTTATAATAAAATAAAAATTATAACAAAATAATTAAAATGAAATAATAGTAGTTCATATGCTGTTGGTACTCGTAATACTGCCTTTTTTTAATGTGGGAGCTTTCTTTGGCCAGTAATAAAAGGATCTGAGCTCAGAAGCAATCTATTAATTAAATCTGTATTTGTAGTTATCCGTAAGTATGTAAGTCTTCCGTGTGTACTGCCTTCTAAACATTTTAATGTCCTTTTTTCGACTCTGCAGCTTCTTCAGGTAATTCTCCAATCGGCACAAGTGCATACTTTATTACATCTGGAGCATGAACTAAAACTTTTGTGTACTGAAGGTGGAAGATAGTACCATGGATACAAGTTAATCAGCTTTCTGGCAGTGCCAAGTGCATACTTTCCAAATTTTTCCACATTGATTTTGTAGCCTGATGCCAAACACTGCAGCAATTTTGAACACCGGATTATAATGTCTTCATCAATACCTGTTATTTCAGCTGACAATTTCGGATTGTTGAAAAACGCCGTCATTTGAGGAAGAAGCTCGAAGAACGTCTTAGAGTTCACATAGCTTTGAATAAGAAAATATTGATGCTTGCTCATGTTTGCCTCTATGAGAAGCGATAGGACCTCATCGATGTTTGCTTTCGTACACCTTGAATTTGTTTGAAAGTTGGATGATCGTAAAACAAAAGCTGCAACTCATCGGTTTTTGGAAGCTCAGCAATTCTTCATCGATTTGTTCTTTTTGATGACTCACTAAAGTCTAAAGTAAAGTTTCTTGAGACTTACTAGCATCGCGTTTGATTTAAATTCGTTCCTTTTCGTTAAGCCAATTAGATTTGATTTTAAGAACTAATGCCTTTTTGCGATTATATTGAATCCAAAATGTATCAATTTTTTTGCAAATGTATCCAATAAAATTCGTTTGCTCGCTCGTCTCGGGCATGTAGCCAATATTTATACCCGTACTCAAAAAAGAGTTAACGGGTATATTAGATTTGTAGTAAAAGTGGATGTGTGCAACGCAGAGAAGGAAACGTTTCCGACCCCATAAAGTATATATATTCTTGATCAGCATCAATAGCCGAGTCGATATAGCGATCTCCGTCTGTCCGTCTTGATGAGCGCCTAGATCTCAGAGACTATTAGAGCTAGAGAAACCAAATTTGGTTTCCAGACTCATGTGATATCACACTGCTACAAGTGTATTTCAAAATTTCTGCATTTTAACTCATAAAGAACACAAAACACGAAAGCCGAACACAATGACACAGCAGAAGGCACATTTGACCTTCAAGAAAAAAAGACTGTTTAGAATATTGTTGATTATGCACATATCAGCCAATACCTGCAGTGTGGCGGATCAGTGGCGGCACTTGGAGATATATGCTCAGGCGCCAAGCTGATACTTATTGTTTTGGATCGGCCTGTACGCTTCGATTTTTCTGATTCTTTCGCAACATCTTTAATCAATTTAACGATGCTTTTAATCGTGTACCGATTTATTCCCCCATTTTGATTTTATCTGGATATGATTGCCTTGTTTGTACAAATAAGCAGTGATTTTTCACTGAGATTGTTCTAAGATCATCTGTTGTGAGTTTGGACATTCGATTTTTGTTATTTTTATAGAATTGCAACTAACGGTGAGCGCTATTGCGACCTTCTAAAACAAGGGGACTAGATCGACGAAACTATAGGACAATAGCTCATTAATGGTTAAGTAGCTCATTAAGTACATGGTTACTTAACGTACAAATTATAACTTCTTATAGAAAATTGATTTATTTTTCGGATACAATTATTTGTCCCCAAAAAATAGAGATGAAAAGCTTTTAAAACAGCAGTGAACTGTAGCTATTGATGTGTTTGAAGACAACATATTTCCAGCAATTTAGAGACATGTCTCCGGTAGAAAAATGTACATACGCACATACAGAGATGTCGCCATGCCATATGTATGTATGTACATGCATACATACATACATATGTACATAAATATGAATATTGCTGACATAGATCGCTCTGTAAGATCCTACAGAGATTCGTCCTTAAAGGCCAACCTTCGGGTCTTGTCACGCTTGAAGGGATAAGAAAATTCGTACTGCTCGTCGATATTACCATTCTTTCCAGATGTTATACAGCTTCGCTTTGAACAGATTTGAAAGTATTTTATGTATTTTTCTTTTGAATCGCTGTTTTGAATTTTGCTAATACATATTGCTGACTAGTTGACTGGACGCACATATGTACATACATTTATACACCGCATTTACGGAGCATCAATGTATTGTGACGTCATAATAACCACAGCAACAGTGAAACAACTCACTAACGGCCTCAAAACGGAATTGCTGTGTTTTGTGGCATTACCTATTTGTAACTTTGGGCTTAGACACTAAACTGTAACTGCAATATCTTAGCCACTATATAAAAGACTGTATATGTATGTATATCTAGATCGTAATTAACCGCTAATGCGCACTGCCGGATCATCGGGGGTTAACATAACCTCGCAGAACATTAACACTACATGTACAATGGCTAAACGGTGACCAGGGACCTAAGCCTTAATTAACTAAATGTATTTTTTTGTAATTTGTGTGTTTAAGTGTAGTGCAGCATTTAAGCATAGACCGGTAGGGGAAAGGAGAAACTAGCATCTAGTCAGATTGATTCTGCAAGGACTTGCAAGGTTTTAAACAAGTGTGTGCAGGAAGAGAGGTAGCCTATGGAGTGGAAAAGCATGTACCACGTCTAGAACCGCTGCGGAAGGATCTCGCTCTTGATACCTCGGAGAGCGTGCTTTTTCTTGCGATGCGTGGACAAGTTGCACGACTGCTTAAAGGAGGCACTGCACAACTCGCAATTGAAGCGCCGCTCCTTGCTATGCACCACCCGGTGCAGCTCCATGCGCGACTTGTATTTGAACTTCAGGCCGCACGTCTCGTAGTCGCAGATGTACCAACGCTCGCCATCGTCCGAGGAGACCGCGCTCCCGGCGCTGGCCGTGGTGCTGTTCGAGTCCTTGGGCAGCTCTTGGGTGGAAAGCAGGGCCGCTGCCATTGCAGTCGAGGGGCCCACTGACATGCTGAGCGTGGAGAGACCACTACCAGTAAGAATTCCCGCCTGTTGCTGCTGCATGACCGAATGGCTGCCCGTCATATTTGGCGGGGTGGTGCTGACTGTAGTAGATGTGCCTATACTTGCGCTGACGAAGCCCGTCGTAGACGGGGGCGGTGGTGCCGCCGCTGGCCCCAGCTGTGGCAAGTGGTAGATGGTGGCATTGGCAGCGGCCGCAGCTGCTTGCATCTCTGGCGGCAGGGTAAGGCATGGAGGCTCAATCTTAATGTCTATACCACTGCTGCTACGAGTACTGCTTTCATTGGCAGCGGCAGCGGCTGCCGCAGCGGCTGCTACAGCATTCGCATGCAGCTCGGCCAGCTCCTTGGCCACATCCCGCTGCTGCTGTTGTTGCAGTTGCTGTTGCTGCTGGTGTTGCTGTTGGTGTTGCTGTTGCTGGGCTTCGTGAAGGTCCATTTCCCGTTGGTCGTCCTCGGAGTACTTGGTAGAGCAGTGGTAGAGGGCCAAGGGAACTGTCACAGAAGTAACACTACCTGCGCCCTGGGAAGTCGTCGCACCAGAAGTGGCTGCTGCCGCCTCCACATCTGTTAAGCAGTAGCTGGATGTTCGACTGTGTTCCTGGATCGGATCGAGATTTATTAAATCAGTAATAGACGCCTAAAGGGTGGTCAACCATCACCTTACCTTGGCAACGCCATGGAGAAAATTATGTTCGTCCTGTATGTGCTTCCAGAACTGATCCTGCGTCTGTAGTTCCTCCTGGCATGTGTGGCAGACTATCCAGAAGCTATCCCCAGAGAGACAGAACTCACCCAATTTGGTGTAGATCTTGTTATTCTTGCTGAGAATGCGCGGAAAACCCATTGCGTTGTTGTTTGTTTATTGTGCTCCAGGTTGAGCTGTAGCCCTGCTCATCACAGTCACAGGTTTCCAATAGGGATGGACGATATTTGCGTATCTGTTTACTTATCGCAGGTATTTTTAAATCACCAATTGCGGCTACTTCAATTCACACAATGAATCCATGTAATGTCACAGTTCCCCGAAAAAGTATTCAGAGTAAAAGTATTTTCTCAAAAAGCCTACTACTCGGACAAGCAGTGCTGCCAATATTTTAGAGGAAAAACAAAATTATATTTGGGCACACAACGCATTCAAATAAAAAGCTGACAAAAAAACAAAAAATTAAATATACATATATATATATAAAAAACGATTTTTGTATTCATAAAATTTGCATTATATTTGTCATCAGAATGTGGCTATTCTACTAATTTTATCCACATACATACGGACTTTTGCAACAATATAACTGAGTATCGATACACATTATATGCATAGATTGCTATAGATTTTTATACCCGTACTCGAAGAGTTAGGCCTAGTACTCAGATCGAAAAACTGTTTGCTAGCAAACAGATGTCATATATTTTTCGAGCGACCAGTGGTGTGAACAGAGGTGTGCACTGCATTCCGAACGGTTACACTGCTCAGACCGCTGCTTGGTTTTGTTTAAAGCCTAGTACTCAGATCGAAAAAAACACATCGCGAACAGAATCAGGGTTGATATTCGTATGAAAGCGATAAGAAATTTTGTACGGCAAAAACTGTTTTCTAGGCTCTGTACGGAAGGCAGTACTCAGATCAACAAAAAAAAAAGGTCGGTATATACTAGAAAAGTATCCGAAGTATTTGCTTGTATTGCTGGTATGTTTCGACCCACCTAGAAAGTTATATCAAATTGATATATTTTGCTAGCAAACACAAAGCAAACATTGCAACAAGAGAACAAAAACCAAATGAAATATTTTAATAATGAAGACAAATCAAATCTTATTATTAATGCATTATTAATGCAGAATTATATGAATGACAATCTATATGGATATTATAATTTATTATTTTTATTAATTTTCATATATATAAAACAAATATTGTTTTCAATACATTTTGTCTTTACGGTGGTCGGCACGGGAGGCGTCGCCATCTGCTGCTGCTGATAGTCAGACACATTACCTTGCGAATAAAATATTGGGAGCCCAGGATATGTCTGGGGAAGAGCGATAGAGGTGGAGAAACATCGATGAAAACATCAATGCATCGATGTTTTTAAATTTTTTGGAAACATCGATGTTTAATGGCGCGGTACCTTTGCAAGTGAGGGAAGCGTAGAAGGTATGTGTAAAAATGTATTTATAAATTGAATTATTAACTGTATTTAGAAGTTTTCAGGTATTCAACTGGTGGTTTAGGCAACGTCGGAGGGGGTGCGGCAACATCGTGCGAGTCCGAAAGGTCTTTCAGCTAGGCTGGACAGATAATATCGGACCGTCGCACCAGACTTAAAGTTGATGTCGTAGATAAACTCATGTAGCAATAAGAACTAAACCATTTTCTGTTAAACTTATAGAACAAGTTTTGTATTTTGATCTTATTGAATTTGTTTTTTTTTTTGCATATACGAATATTATTTATTTTGTTATAAAATGAATAAAATCTTTTCAATTAAATCTATTTAATTTAAAAAAAAATAATTTACAGTAAAAAAAAATTTGTGGCTATATTGTTTTCTTTGAAAACATCAAAAAACATCGATGTCCACGAACATCGATGTTTTCTCCGCCTCTAAAGAGCGACCCCCTGAATAACTCTACAAAGAAATGTCTAAAAGTATAAAATAAATATGAAAATTAATTCTTATTCGTCCATCTTCTTGTCGTCTTGCATAATTCTTTTGATTTTCCAATATTTTTTTTTCTTTCCTGGTCATCACGCACCCAAATAAAAATTAAAGACGCACGTCTGCCAAGGTAAACGCCTTTTCTGCTTCATTGCGTCTATTCCGATATCGATAGCAGACGCGCCCAGTATAAAAAGTGCTATTAAATGCAAAATGAAAAAAAATTGCTGATTGATGTATTGACATGGGTTACCAGTGCAATTGCCCTTTTTATAAATATATTTTTTTTAAACCAGCCACAAAATTGGATCTGTGAAAATTAGCTGTGGGAGCCCGATTCGGCTATCGATAAATCTCTGTTTAACATAATAGAGGCATATTTGTATAAGCTGGTACTAGCGGCGCTTAACAGTACAGAGGAAATAAACCTTACTTTTGCGAATTTCAAAACGCCTTGAGATTAAAAGCCGGAGCCTGCCTGATTATATATTATGCCTGGCGAGCATGTTGAACTTGGTGAAACTCCGCGAGCTCCCTCTGTCCATGGGGCGTAGCAAAAAGCCCCGCCATAGAACAGTTTTTTGCTTGTTGCTCATGCAACATCTTGGTATTGTATAGTCTTCGATTACACACATCCACACAGCGATAGAAAAAATAATAGAAACGGCATTTTTTTTGTATATTTCAATTTGTTGTCAATTTTTTTTTTCAATTTTAATATTTTGATTGATAGCACTACTGACAAAATTGAACTTTTTATTTAGGCTGTGAACTTTTTAAACCCCGAAATCTATAAGAAAAAGTCATTTTGGGCCACAGCCTAATTCTCGTGTTAACTAGTGTAGTCTATACAGTAATGTATCAAGATATAACTAAATAATATTTTTCAAAACATTTAATGTAACCGAAATTAATTTTTTCAGTTTTTGTGGGAAAAAATAATAGAAACGGCTATGAAAAACAATTTTGTAGCTTTAAAGCTGTAGCAAAAAAAGGAAAATATATAATAAATTTAAAATAATACATAAATCATAAGCTCACATATTAATATACTGACTGAGTACATGTATAAAACTAGAGTCGCGTCCACAGAAGCGACTCACAACGTTCCTTCTTGTTGATGTTATAGCCACTTGTCCTTTTCATTAAGATCTTCTAAAGGTAGGATCTATGGGATGTAGGTCTGATATTCCATCAGGCCAATCCATCAGGGAAACTTTGTTGTCCAGGAACCATTTCTTGGTTAGAATTTTGATGTGATTCGGGCCATTATCCTGTTCGAGCTTCTACTTTAATGGCATTTCCTATTCGGCATTATACTGTTGAGTATATTTACATAGTCGGAGGCACACATTTTTTTCTATATCCAAAGTATTGGACCAATAAACGAATGGGTAAAACATCCCCACAACATTATGTGTCCACCACCATGCCTACCCGCTTGAACAAAATACCTTGGTTCATGGGCAGTAGTATTAAGATGCCAAACACGAAGTTCCCCAGCAAATCTAAGCATATTGACATTACTTTCATCTGACTAAAACACATTTTTCCAACTTGGGCGCGATAAATGCACCTTCGCGAAATTTACTCCGTTTTTTTTTCGTAAGGAGTGGTATATTTCGAGCTATATGGATTTTTTAATCGACATGAATCATCATATTTCTTATAGTACGACTACTAACCGGTACATTGACGATAATTTTTAGAGTTTCGTTATTTTTTGTATTTAATTAATTTATTTTTTTTTAATTTATTTTATTTTATATCTTCTTTTGCCTTTTGTTTACAAGAAAACTACCAAATTCGAGTGCGTTATTATTATTTTTTCCGAGACAAAAACATGGTCTTTATACAAAAATCCATATATCCCACTGATAATCTTCACGGAAGAAGCCCAAAAGAGAATAAAAATAAAGCCCCATTATTCTGAAACCAAGCACAGTGGTTTTCATGCAAAAAATTTGTTCCAAATATAAAATATTTGGTTTCAAATCTGAATGCGCCTGCCGTTTCTTTTATTTTTTCGATCACTGTATATCCCCAGGAGGCTGAATCTATTAATTATCTCCGCAACTCGTGCACCAAGTTACATGCTGTTTTTTGTTTTTTTCAAATGATAGCCAGAGATTGTGGCCTGGTTTGCACAAACTAATTTAAGCTTTTCTATAATTAGGTTCAAAAATTAAAATGTAATAAAAAAAATATTAAATTTGGTCCAAATTTGGTTCTCCGCAACGCGTGCACCAAATTGCATGATAAATGATAGCCATTGTTTCTTTACAAAAGTTTTAACTTTTCTATAAATTGGTTCCTCGAAAATGAAAATTAATCAAAAAAATTGGTTTTTGTGTTTTTGAACGCCTATTTCATTTCTCTTTGTGTCATTCTGTAGAATAGAACATTTTAAGATAGATTTTGTTTTTATATCTTTTTGTATGAAAAGTTGTTTTCTGAAAAAATGCAATTTGTATAAGTTATTTGTTGCTTTTGATTACACTACTCAACAAAATTGAAATTGATGCGTCTATCTAAAACTTAAAATGCATGCCAAGACTTTTTCTCTCGACTTTTCCCGAGTTTTTAAAGTCAAAATTTCGGAAAAGAATACCGCAAAAAATGATGTAATTTGAATTTGAAAGCTTAATATCTTCCAGGCGTTAAGCTGCAGATACAAAGGGTCTGGGTCGGATTTATAGCTGCATTTGTCAGCTTTTCAGAACTGCAAAGTTCTATGTGACCAGATATAACATACTTAAGTTATGTGAAAAATAAAAGCACTACCTCTGAAAAAAAAACATTAAAAAATACCAGATTAAAAAAATTCTTTAAAAAAACTAAACCATAAAAAAACCATAATTCGTTAAAAAATTTCAAACCCCGAAATCTATAAGAAAAAGTCATTTTGGGCCACAGCCTAAATGTCGTGTTGACTAGTGTTATCATTGTTTAATTTCAATGAATTCTTAAAAATTAAATGCATTTAGTAAGCAGCGAAGTGCGCGGGTCTGCTAGTTTCTTTATAAATTTTCATTACAATGAATAGGCAAAACCCAAGTCACACAAACGTCGTCATTATATTTTCAGGCATCTTAAGTTGAAAGCACTGAGAATCTACCTGTTACGCGCCCACATACACACACGCGCACACAGACTCACACCCATTCAATTAGAAGGGGACACGAAACGGGGAACACAATAAAGGCAACTAGGCAGCGGTAGACGCAGGGGACTGCTGTGACCAAAGATGAAGCAGCTGGCCGACAAAGAACGGCTTGAACAAGATTCCGAGACTGGAACTGGTGTTGGTGTGGCTGTAAGTATGTGTGTCCGTATGTGTTTATGTGCCATGTTTGAGCCAGCCAAGAGCGAGTTTGTTGGCCCGATGGCGGCTTTGGCATTTTCACAACGTCAGAAAGCCGAGAAAGACGCTGCGCAGTCGCTGTCCCAGTCCCAGTCCCAGCTACAATCGAAGACATTGTGGGATTACACGTACCGTTACTGTTTCGGATGCTCGCGGCGGCCCGCGGATACAGAGGTTAAAAATAGCTTTGCAACGACACAGATTAAAAAGTGAAACCTGCGCTGAGCCCAGCCTAAAAAAGGGGTGACGGACTCTGAGCGCTGAGAATGCGTCAGAAATGCGGCACCGTTTACACCTGGAACTGTGCTGGCGAGCTGTATGGCATCGAGTGCGCCCTTTGCGAGGAGCGGCCCCTTTGCACGCTAAACGAGTTCACAACGCATATGGTGGTCTGGCACTCCGACTGGGGGGCCGAGGCGGCAGAAGCTTCCACGGATGACGAGGCGAATTCAGCTGCACCTGGAGCCGCCGTAGATGAGCTGATGCAGGAGGTGCTGGCAGAGCAGCGTACCAGCGAAGCCGACAATGAGTTAAAGCAACAGCTGGTCCAGCAGCTGAATGCCATGGATCAGCCAGTGGCAGAAACAGAGGCAGGGGCAGCAGCAGCAGCAGCAGCAGCAGCAGCAGCAGCAGCAGCAGCAGTAGCGGAACCGACCATTGTCAGTGAGCAAGTGAAGTTCGCCCTTGAGGTGAGTTAGTGTTGGCAGGATGCGACCATAATACAATCTGATACGAGTGTTACGTTACGTTACCTATGCCCACAGAATCCAGCGCCTGTGCCTGAGGGCCAGCGGCTGACCACTCAGCATGTCAACCAGCTTATCGAGCTGTACCGCGCGGAGCCACGTCTCTGGAACCAATCGCATTCGGAGTTCCACGATACGGACCTGTGTCGCAAGTCCTGGCGTCGTATAACGGACACCTGGAGCGTGCACTGCGGCCGCCGCTTCACTGTCACCGATGTCCGCATACGAGTATCCACGCTGTGCCAGCGCTTCATCAAACAGCGCGAGCGCCTCGAAGCTGACGGCGAGCTCGACGACGCTGTCAAGTTCGTCCACTACGACCAGCTGGGCTTTCTCTGCAAGCAGCAGGCACTGCTTAAGCGCCAGCAGCACTTCGTTCGCGAGAACCGCAAGCTGATCGAGCTCTATGAGCATTACCCGATCTTCTGGCACAATGTCCACAAGCGGCTGCGCTGTGCGGACACCGTGAGGGGCCGCCATGAGGCACTCCGTGATCTTCAGCTGGCCCTGCGCCTGTCCGGTATTAATCTGTCCTCGCTGGTTATTAAACGGCGGCTGCAGTCTCTGCGGAAACGATATCGCCTGGAGAAGATCCGCTATCTGCAATGCGTGGTGGAGGGCAAGCAAGCGGAGTTCGTCGCCGGCTTTGAGCACTACGAGGAGATGGAGTTCCTTCATATTCACATTGATCCATATGTGTGCGCTGTCTGCGGCAAGATCTTTGAGAATTTGGCGAGTCACCAGGCGCACGTGCAAAGCAACTGCCATATCCAGATGGAAATGGATGTTGGCCCAGAGAAAGGGAAAGAAGCTGAAGAGGGGGAGGATGAGAAGGGGGAGCGGTCAGAACTTGTGCAGGAACAAGATGTGGAATTCCACATTCTACAGGATCTTCAGCACGTTGAGTACCCGCATCAGGTGGAACCGAACTTTGAGCAGGTGGAGAATCTCCCCCCTGTAACGGGCCTTCACACGACGACAATCTTCCAGCAGCTTCCAGATACCCCACAAGTGCAGAATAACGAAGATCTCCAAAAGGTAGAAAATATCCCGCAAAGAATTAAACTTGTGGCAAATCTCCGGGTGGCGGATGCGGATAATCGTGTATCTGTCGTGGAGGGGACAGTAGGGTCTGCGCCTGACCGCGAGCAAGAAACCTCTCTATCCTGTCTGTCCGAGGGTTGCTCCGCCACCAATCTGGAAGCTTTGCCATCCGTGGTGCCATCCGAGTTGGAGCACAGGGAGGGCTCGCCCGTCCGCCTCAGCCGGCAGCAGACAATGAAGCTGATCAAGCTGTACCGAGAAAACATGTGCCTGTGGGATCCCAACCACCTGGACTACCATACACGCAAGCACCGCCGCCTGGCTTGGCAGAGAGTCACGGACGAGTTAAACAGGAGCGAGGGCACAGACACGCGCCAGAGATACAGCTGGCAGATGCTACACCGAAAGATCACGGACTATACGAAGTATTACCGCCGGGAGCGACAGAGGGATCAGGAAAAGAAGCTCGGGGAGGAGACCACCAAATGGAGCTTCTACGAAGAATTCCGCTTCCTGGACGACGTGCTTCCCATCAGCAGTGTAATACAGAATACGCTTAACCAGCGGGACAGTACCCTCAAGATCATCGCCGTATACCAGAGCTATGCCCAGCTCTGGTGCACCGACCACCCGGACTACACGAAGCGGCGGCAGCGCCAGCGGCAATTGGAGTCTCTCTGCACGCGCCTGCAGGAGGAGTGCAACCTGCAGATTACTGTGGAGCGACTCAAAGGCCGGCTTATCGATTTTCGCTGCCAGTATAGGCAGTGCAAGGAAGCGCGGATAGCGGCCCTCAAGAAGGCCGAACCCTGGACTCCCGAGTACGAGTACTACGAGCAACTCCGCTTCCTCGAGCTGCACGTGTCGCCGTTCGTTTGCCCCCGATGCACGGCAGCATTCAAGCGTCGCACAGACTTCTTGCAGCATGAGCGCAACGTTCACCTGGATCAGGAAAAGGCCCTGAACGGCGAATATGGATTCGTGAGGCGACGCAGATGTCGAACGGATAAAGACAGCCCCAATGACCTATCCAATGTCTGCCACATTTGCGGCCTAAAGTTCTCGCTACGCAACAGTCTACTGGCTCACCTGCGGCGGCATCTCGGCCAGCGCACTCACATCTGCTCGGAGTGCCCCAAGAAGTTCTTCAACTCGACGGCCCTGCGCGTTCACCAGCGCAGTCACAGCAAGGAGCTGCCTTATGTGTGCGAGCACTGCGCTCGGGGCTTCGTCAACGCCAGCAAGCTTAACCAGCACGTGAAGCGGCACCGCAACCAACGCGACTTCCCCTGCAACCGGTGCGACAAGGCGTTCTACACTGCCCACGAGCGCGACCGGCATATTCGCGCCCACCTTAACATACGCGACAAGGTCTGCCCCCACTGTTCGCGGGCCTTTGTCGTGGGCAGCGCTTATTACTCCCACCTTAACCTCCACCGCAGCGAGAAGCGCTACTCCTGCGCCAACTGCGGTCGCCGCTTTGCGCAGTACGCTGGCCTGTACAAGCACCGCCGACGCTGTGTTCCCACTGATGTACAGGCCGAGGATTAATCAGGGATCAGGATCCGTCCTACGCTTCCGCCTTGGTCCATTCTTCCAGAATAAACCTTCGGAATGTACCCAAAACCCTTATGACTAGAATCCTAATGGCTTATTAGACATCTCCTGTACTCGTACCTAGTTAAATTCGATGTCTCATTCAAGAAATTACAAATTCATTTCTACTCGCTTATTGTTAATGAAGTAAATTGCTTATCCACATTCATTTTGGCATACAGTGGCATACATTCTTGGTCAACAGTGGAAGCCAGCAAGGAAGATTCTCTTAACATCTTAACTGGCCGTTGAAGGCCGCGAGCACGCTATACTCGGAGTCGAAAGCGAAGCTTAGCTGTCCTGATAACTGAGTGGCTGAGTGGAACGATGATCTGATTGCTGCATATACAGCTGTGTTCAATGAAATAGTAGTCCGCCTGTAGTGTGTCCGCACCTACACCTTTTTGAACAGTACCTAATGCTTACTGACCAACGAAATTACGCAACATTTGCATTCACTAGCTGTTGATGTATAGTATACGACGTCGAGCGGATTTGATATAGTTAATGTGTGTACAATTTATTTGTTATAAGTTTAAGGCGAAATATGGGGTGTATAGGTGTAGCGAAAGAGATAGCGAGATGTGCCGGTTGATCAAATCAAAGCGATGTCGATTGAAGACGCAGGGTCTGTTCAATATGCGAGAGAAGATCAAGATGAAGACGGTAGAACGTGAACGTGACTGCGATAATGATGACGATCAATTAAAGACTAAAGAGGGCAGGCGGACCGAATTGCCCGTTTCCTAATGCAAACGAGAGAGAGAGCGAAAGAAGCGATGGAAGCTCGGGCTGCTGCTGAGCCGAGTACGAGCGATAGATAGAGACAGAGAATGCGAGAGAACAACACAGATGATGCAGCTGCAGTAGCAAAATGAAGAAAGAGATATAAAGAGGCGAAAGAACGGCCGCTGCAGCGAGTAATTATAAGCGGTTACAAATTTTATATGCAGTGGGCAATGCAAATAGCAAACAAAGGTGGAATTACTTTATTTTGCGCCACTGCAGTGTCCCAATGCACTGGCTATTATTTGAGGAATTTTTGGACGAATACCCATCAAATCTGCTGCACATAGAAATAGTAGTGCTAGGTGTAAATAGTAGTGCTAGGTGTAAATATTTAACAAAAATTAAGAAACAGAACAAATTAATTTTAAAAATTAATTTGAAGTTAATTTCAGTTATTGACTATTCTGATGAAACAAAGCTTTGGACATAGCGCTACTTTTGATTTTGGAGCGGACCTGAAATCATTGCACGGTCCAGAAGAGGAAACCTAAGAGTTAGACTAAAAACTAAAGGCAGGAGGTAACATGGAACTAAAAACTACCTTTTATACACTCTCACTATTGTATTTAACCCAATCACCCAAAATATTTACACTGAAAATATATTTGTATGCGAAAAATGTATTTTTAAGAGGATGGTCGAAGGCAAGACCATGCCTTAAGCATACTCAAAATATGAAAAAAATTTTATAACGCTTTTTAAGGGCTGTGACAGTTCTTTTGAAACAAATTCAATTTAAATTTTATTTCGTTTATTCAGGGATGTGACAGTTCTTAGAATGTTGATTAAACATTTTTTAATTGCAAGAAGTCCCAAAAAGCTCCTTCAGTTTGGAAAAACGCATGGGGGCTGGCCTGTGTCACAGTAACTAAAAGTTGAGGATAGTAATGTTGTATTATATAGTAAAAAAGACGCCAAAGAATATGTTTGGCATTTTTGGCAAAATATGTATATGTAGAGAATACTTTACAATCCCATTCCATTGGAAAAATGCCCTTCAAACGGATCTTTTAACCCGATAATGACCTGAAACACTGACAAAAGTTCGCTAGGAATTGGGTTGAATCCGAAAAGATTGACCTTTTGCCATGTCCAACTGGATATTAATCTCATCGAAATCTTATGGGGGAATGTCAGATGCTTTGCAGCAATTGCAAATCCGTCAATCAGACCAAAGCTTTGGCAAGTGGTTTAAGGGTTATTGGCTTAAATCCAATTGAATCTTTGGCAGGACATTATTGATCCATTCTGGCCGGTAGAAGGTCGTAAATAAAATAAAATTAACTAAAAACTTAATTTTAAACCTCAAGAAATATGAAGATCATGTAACATTGAGTTTAATTTGAACTTCGATGATTTGTTTTGATTTTCTTAAAAAACACTAATATTTCTATGAACAGAAGATCTAATGGGTATATGTCTCAGGTCATGTAAAACAGGAAGATGGAATGCAAATACAATTTACAATTTACATACATACATAATGCTTACATTTTAAGCTTTTCAAAGAGAGATCACATGTTCAATTTGGAATACTGGAAGTGTTTTAAAAACAGTCCTGAAAATTGTGATGTTTTGGATGTTTGTCACACATATTAGGACATTTTCTAGCTGGTTTTTTAATAGAAATTGATAGCAATTTCTAGATCTATAATAGAAATGTTCACAGAAAATTATTGAAGACTAAATGGATAGGGCAAAAGATAGGGCATTATTTGTCAATACACTCTATATATTGCTTCCAATTCAACATTTCAGTCTGCCCGCCTTGACTCCTATACGGAATTTCGTTCACTTTCTAAAATACAGTAAGCGGCGTTCTAAGCATTCTCCAAGTAAGAATAAATAACGTACGCATAAATATCGAATACAAATATTTTTCTCGCTTTGCTTTTGTATTTGTTGTAAATGCAGCAGTTAAAAAAAATGGTTGAAACTATGCAGGAGCAGCAAAAGCAGCAGCAGCGCTGCCTTCAGTTCCTAATTGGATTTGGCGAAACGCTTTAGTTGGCGTAGGCGGTAAATGTCGTGGGCGGGCGGAGCGGAAGGGTGTAAATCATCGTCGCTATCATCGCCGCCTGGCAAAAGGCGACGGCGACGCGGTGGTATCGCCGTAACGCTGTGCTGCACCCCTGTGTATGTGCTGGTGTCCACAATCCAGTGCACCGATTTAGCCAGATCGAAGATCTTGGGCGACAGTTCATTGTCGCCATTGGGTAAGGGAGCCGCTTTTAAGATGGAAATGGTAACCCATTAGTTCGTTAGCTAAATTGGTCAAGGTAAGGACCAAGTAACACTTACAGTCAGGCAAATTGAGGCGCATGAATATATCGAAGAGAAGCTCGACACTAACGAAGGGACCGCGAAAGGAATTTGGCGGCGGCAGGCCTGCGCAGAGGGAGGCCAAGGCTGGAGGTTGGGGAAACACACCGCCTGCCAGCGGATGGGAGCCGGGATGGGCGCACGGACGTGGCTTGTATGGTATCATCTGTCTGAAATCGGGACGCGGAAGCGGTGCAGCCGCCTCGCTATCCCCTTCGGCGTCGCCATTATTTTGGTTCTGAACCCCACCAACCTTATTAAGGATGATCCCTCCAATCTGCAATTGAAAAATATGTATATAAGAAGTTATCAAGCTGAGGACTTCAGAGTACTCACCTCAGCATATCCTATGGACTTTAGCTCGGTGGGGGTGCAGGGAAACAGGTCGAGGAACTTATATCGGTCCACCAGCTGCGCGGTTTCCTTGCCCTCGTATTCTTTAAGCTGCACAAGAAATGATTCCTTAAATCAAGATCAGTTGGAAGAAGTTTTGCGGAAACATACATTCTCAAAGACGGCACTGCGACGGCGCTCCACCTTGACGATGCTTGATAGATCTCCGATGTTAGCCTCAAACTCGAGGAAACGGTTCCAAACCTCCACGCTCTTGTGTGGTGACAGGCCGCCCGAGCTTAGCACGCGCTCGAAGAGGACACGCGTATTGTTGTCCTCGTTGAGATGCGAGAGGTAGTCGATGTAGCACATGACGTAGTCGGGACTGCCGCCAAAGCGTTTCAGACCCAGCTCGAATATACGGAACGCGATCTCCTTGTCCTTGGAGCAGTAATACTCCATTAGCGCAGCGGCAACGAAAATGTGATAGCGGCAGCGCACATCTTCGCGCGCCTTCTTAAAGATGCCTCGCGCAGACTTAATGCCCTCAGCGCGACGGGCGAATTGCATGTACTGCACATATACCTGTAACGATAAAAACAGAGATCATCTTTCATGGACTTGCTTAGAATCCTAGCGCTTCTACCAGAGTGGGGTCGATGTCTGGGTGCATGATCAGCTTGTTGTACATGGAGTGAACCTTCTCGTACTTGAGACGTCCCTCCTCGAAATCGGCGTAGGCGAAGTAAAGCAGGGCGTTCCGGTTAAGGACGCCGTTGATCGATCGCTCAAGTATGTTGGCGCATTCGTCAGCAAATATCTTTGCTGCTTGTACATCCTGCAATAGACAATGGATTAGTATCTGTAATTGGTACTTGCGATTGAGTAGGCAAGTAAAACGCGTGCGACCAGGGCCAAGGGCAACGGGGCAAGCGACTGCATTGCACTAGTACCAGCACCAGCACCAGCAACAGCACCATTGCGTGCCACATTACCCAAGGGGCGACACTTCAGAGCAACTGCAACAATAGACGTAATATTCTTTTGGATTTTGATTTGGCAAGTCAAGTGCCGAATCCACTCTATTCTATTTGCTTGACTACAGATCAGGCTGATAACACTACTACGCACGCCTTTCTCGCTGAGGACGCGTGCGCTGGTGTCCAGGAACTGTGATGCCTGGTGCCACACGGCCGGATGGTGGGTAAGCACCAGGAGACACTGCTCAGTGGCGAACATAACGCGACGGGTGACCAGGGCGGTGTCCTCGGTTCGCAGTGGATTCGATTTCTCGTAGGTGATGAAGCGTTTCCACAGCTCCACCTGCTTGACCTCCTCTTTGGTGAGTGTGGGTGGCACTGCGGGCAAGTTGCGGTTGAGACCCTTTGTATGATACTCCAGTTCCTTGGCTACGCGGCGTGCATTCATGTAGTCCCTGGTGGGCCGCACGGAAAAAAGAGTGAGGAATTTGAAAGGGCTTGGAGGACAAGAGGCGCAAAAGGGTGTTACTTGGAACGCTCCAGGCTCATCTTCTCGGATATGATGGGATTAATGTTCTGCTCGAAAGATATGTAGTCCTTCCACAGATGCTCAATGCCGACGATGGGCGTAACAACCGCCTTCTGGTAGACACGGCGCACAGCGGTGATTTTTTGGTTCTCCGCATAATTGCCTACCGCCTCCACACCGCGCAGGAAATAAAT